GCCGGGGAGGACAGTTTTGTCGAGAAGGAGGCGAAACTGGGCCAGAGCCTCAGCCTTTGAAATAACTAGTCCTGGTCAAAAGGTGACGCAAACCTTATTGCCAATTTTGCTCAAGTAATGCGCTTTTGCAAGCATTGATTCACGGATTTCGGTTTCGCCTTCATTCTTCTCTGCGTTCTTAATCTTTTCGTCGAGTTCCTTCAGCTTCTCGACATTGGCTGCTTGCATTTGATCAACCAAGGCTTGGTCAATATTTAGGTGGAGTTGTTTACATACGTGTTTGTAGTACGGCGTCATGTCTGTGGATTAAAAAATTGTAGAAAGTGAAATTTTCGTGACTAACCCATATACATCCCTAAAACAGGCCCTCTTAAAAGAGCTCACTAAAAAGACAATACCTAGCAAGTGGGCATTTTGGATCAGCTCCATATGATAGGAATCCTGCTTTCGTGTGTCCATTTTGCGCCATCGACAACGGCAGGGAGGCCATGATTATTCGTAGTAAAAAATTTGCAAAATTTGACCGGAATGAAGATCATTTACCAAGTCAGGCCGGCAACTAATTCTAGCATTAAATGGAGACGGTCATGAAGGTGAAAGTCATAAGCAGCGTCGGTCCAGTCGCTTTAGGACTTCAAGGTATACATTTGATGACGAACTTGCATATCGGCAAAACCATTGGACGACAGGACGGTTTTGAAACAAACAACCCGCTTGTCCCAACCTCCAATAGGTTGCGCTAAAGCAGGCGACCCCCAAGTGGCCAGTCCGAAAATCCACTGTCAGAGGGCAACTCCAGTATCGCACTTCGACAGGTTTTCGCAAATAGCAAACCGCTGATGACATCTAATTTCACCCTGACGGATAGAGACTGGAGGTGGCATGACGCGATTTCCCGCCCTTCCCTTTGGTGTGGCGAAAACCAGCAACAACCAACTGGACAAAAACCTTGATGGTATGACGAAAAAAGCAAAAACCGTTGATTTTCCGGATAAGGCACTAATTTCCCGTCTTATTAAAATTATCAGCTTCACAATTTGCGATCTTTTCCCAACCAAGGGATTTACATACGTGTGTGTATAAACTGCCCCCTTACAGAACGCTATCTTTGGAAGCGAAAAGCCTGCCAACCGCTTCAGTCTTCTTGTACTTACTTGTACTTGATACGGCTGCGATCATGCCTGATCTAGCCGGCCTCGATGATGTCCCGAACAGTACCTCTCCACGCGTGACGGTCT